CACACACACACACACAGTAAAAAGCAGCAGAGTTTAAAAAAGGATCTCTAATGAGAAGAGGAAGATGCGATGGTGAAGCACATTTAGATATGTACCTTCATCTTAGAGTAAGGGGCTGTTTTAATTTGTAAGCAAAGGCAGCACACCAGCAATGAGATTTTAATTGATACACATAAATAATTCCTTGTGTACATTCGCACTTGAGTCAGATTCACTGTTTATTTGACGATTGAAATTAGTCATTATCGGGATTCGTGTTGATGTTGAAGATTTTATTTATTAATATATCTCCCGCTTAATATCCTCTGATCCGCTCCCAATTAATTATGTCAAAATCCACATCAAACTGGAACTTACACGCATATTGAGCTTTGCCTCGCTTTCATTTCTCTGCTAGCCAAGCGCCGCTGTGACAATAACAACAAATGAGGAATGAAAGGGATTTCATTGTTTCCCAAATGAAGATAATGAGGGCTGTCTTTCACTATGACAGAGTCTGACTGGTGCAATGAAAGTCTTCACAGGTTGCTTTCTTTGTTTTTTTTCCCGCTGTTGGAGGAATGGCCTTACATTCTACAATTATACAGTTTTGCTAAACTCTATTGTGCTCCAAACTGCTAGTCACAGGTAGGAAGAGTTCCACTGCGAGTGAGCCAACAAATCTTTGTGACTAGTGATGCAAAGCACATCATCTCACGCTCATCACTTGTTGTTAGGTAGCTGTCCCTGACAAACCGCAACAATCCTGACAGATTGGAAGAGGAAGGGGTCACAACATCACCTCTGAGTGTGCAGCTCCAAACACGTTGCTCAATAACAAAAGCGCTTGGGGTTAATCTGCAATGTTTTCCCTGAAACGCAGGAAAATGATTATTGAGGCAGCAGTGCGAACGTAAGTGACACTTACTTGAAATCTGCTGAAACTCCAGGTTGTCTGGACTTGTGTTTGCAGCCAGATCCTGTAGGAAATGTTTATACCTGTGAGAAAACAGAAAATAAACAAGGTCACTGTATGCTCGCTGTCTAAAAATATCATTGGAAAACGTGTAAACTGGAACAACAAACACTTGGTGATGTAGCCCAAACACTAACAGAGCCACAGCCGTTATAGAACAGTACATTCTTTGACCTGTCACTGCAGACTGGATGCAGAGCCTTACAAAACGCACCTCAGAGGAATCTAACTACACAAAGTCTGATGTAAGCTCCTGACTGACGCAAATGGAGATAGCAGGGTTTGCTGTGTTGACAGTGACAACGTCTAGACCAATTTAACATGGTTTTACTTGAGCCCTCCTTAGACACACTGCTTGGAAGAAAACAAAAACAAACACATACTCTTCTACTCGTCTGTCCAGAGGTCTTAAATGGTGAGTCAGTCAAGACCTAAACAAACCATTAGGAAAATGACAGAAAACACAAAAACACAGTAAAATTGTAGTATTACAGTATTGTTCTATGTACTCAAAATAGTACAGTTACAGTAGTTCATTGTAAATCAAAATACAGCAACTTGCTGGCAACCATGCTGCCAATAACTAACTAAAAGCATACAATGAAAATCTTTACAGTGCAAACAAAAACCTGGTTAACAACAGTATTTTCAATTTACATTGCAAGATTATAAGAAATGATTTATGCTTTATGAATTACTACTAATTATTCATTACTTCGATGGATAATCGGTGCAGCCTTTGCCTGAGTTACCTGAATGAACTGTACCCTATTCCGTTAAAAGTACTTTTGTCGTCTACATCTTTTGTGCAGACTAAATTAATAAGTTACCTATTAGCTTTCTGTTCGCGGGGCATTTATTGCACTTGCATTGTCGTCGTGGAACTGAAAACACAACAATTCTTATATTCAGGTGATTATACACTAATGAAAACATACCTAAGAATATTATATTCCATTCCTGACAATAGATCCTCCTTAACTTTTAATTGAAAACTAAAAATACACTCGGTCTGATTAAGAGGATAAAATATAAAAGCCTTACTTTAACTGTACAATTCAGAAAATAAATTAATAATTTTCCTAATTTCAGTTTTCATGTAAAGTAACAATTGTGAGAAGCATCAGCTTCCTCAGAAATCTTTATCCTTTTTACTAGGATGATGTGACCTTGAAGTGCATTGACGATTGACATTGATTTCCACTGTGTCTGTCTGCCTTTGCAGCCCTCTCTTTGTGCAGTCCGGGTTTGTTTTAGAGACACAGCGGTGCCACTGAGGGAGGTCATTAGTGATGCTAGCAGACTGTACACCACTGCTGCTGGTCCATGTTGTGGCATGAGACGTGTTGGAGAGTGACAATGGTATAGTGTGATAGGGTTTGTATGTACTGTGTATGGTGATTCTTCAAGCTGCTTGCTTGACTGGAATGCTTCAGTAATTATATTAGTTAACTAAATGCGGAGCTGTCCAAATTTTGATGATCTTGCTTAAGTCTGTCACAATATCAGATAAGGATATAATCTTCATATTTATAAAAAAAAAAATTAATAATAATAATAATATTATCTAGAGATGTACCTAGCTCCTAATTTAGCCATCCATGAAACTGAAATTGAGCAAAGTTGAGAATAAAATTGAGCCAGGCTTTACAAGTCACCTTGTTAGATACTCAGTATATTCTATAACATGTATTTGATGCGGGGGTAGTTAGTTCCATTATCAGGATTTATATTTCAGTGAGCGTGTTGGGGTGCTTCTAAAATGGACAATTTATGGACAACACCATGAATGATTGTGAAGAAAATGAAGACACTGTTCACGTCATTAGACGAGACATCACTCTCATGGCTGACTGATCATTGTGGAATAACCGGATACATGATGCCCTTTTGAGTTTATTTCAAATTTCTTCCACCACTGGCTGGATTAACTTTGTGAAAAGAACAACAAAATTTTGGTTGATGGCATCGGCAATGATGCGAGTTTGTCAGTGCTTACTGTCATCATAACTTACCAATCTCTGGGTGTTCTCTGTTCAATTCCAGTTTCATAAGCATCCAATTGGACAATTGGGGGAAAGCAAAAATCTGGAACTTTTGCTCTGAGTTTTTTAGCAGCACACAAAGCGCTTACTGCAATCAAAGTTTTTGAGGCCGATTACTAGAAACCGTATCAGCCAATACCGATTACCAGGTCTATTTAAAGCCTTATATTTATAGTGTCGCTTATTTATTTGTTATTATTTACTATTCTTAACAACATTGTATATTAAGTATTCATTCATTATTAAATTATGAATTGACAACTGTGTATTTATTGTCAGAAAACATGTTCAACATGACACAGGCTAAACCGCAGCCTGTTGTTGGTTATTGGAAACAGCTTACCTTCCACAGAATGACAGTGTAACTATTTCTATAGCTCATTGCTTATTTTATCCACCCTATTTTTGTGTTATATTGTTTACTCACAAAATACTTTGTGCACTTGCTTTTTCCCCCCTTCTCTTTCCCCCCGTACACACACATCTACACCTCAGTCTCATACACAACGGCTGCCCCACCACTTCACTTTCTGCTTCTCTCTCCCTGTATCATACAGGCTATTACATTATTGGTCTGCAATAAGTTTTATAGTTTTATGTGGGCGGCTGTGGCTCAGCAGGTAGAGCTGGTCGTAGTTTGGCGGTTTGATCCCCAGCTCCTCCCGCAACCTGTCGAAGTGTCCTTGAGCAAAATACTGGAACCAGAAATGTCTCCTGATGCTGTTAGCGTATGAATGTGAATTAATCAATTTGTTTCTATTTGTCTGCAAAAGGCTAAAACGAGTCTCTGACTATTAATATACCGGGCAGTCCACCCGAGTAAATCGGTGTGTGTCAAAGACTGAATATAATGTTTCTATGGAACAAAATAAAAGTGTCAGTAGATCGTCTCTTCTGGTCAGCGTTTAGAGAGATCGCAGATAAAACAAATTAGAGCGAATTGATGCACCCTTACTACATATAGAACATAACTGGAAAAAGACGCCTCTTACTGCAGAATTTGCACTCTTAAGAGGAAGGGCTCAGAATCATGGTTTGAACATCTACATTTTCACGCGAACTGAACATACCCGATGTACAAGTGAGACCATGGTTAGTCAAGAATGAACTGTAAAACAGAACTACAGGTTCTATTTTAACAGTGTATGACTAGTGTAAAGTGCTAGGTGACAGCTGAGGGGCACTATATCAGTGAAACAGCAACAACTATCTGTAAACACCAGATCAAATAACAACTAAACTATCTCCATCTGCTGGGGAAGGCCATGAGGTGTGGTTGAAAGCTTGGCTTGAAATGAACCGGTTTAAGTGTCTGTGTGCTGCACTGCTATACGTTTACAGGAGCCAAGCTGCAGAACAGTAGATTAGCACAATGGTGGGTCTGCGGGTAGACGAGGAGGAAGAGGCGGAGGGCATTGTTCTTGTAGTCGATTACTCGTTGGAAATAAAATGGAAGTCAAACAAGCTCCAATTAAGCCTCCTTCAATTAAGAGACACTTAAACAGAAATAATTTCACTTCTTTCTCTTCTTGTCTCATCTTGTAATAACAAATACATTACAGGCATTATTAGCAATGGATGCCCTCATTCTTATTAAGGAGTAGAGACGAAAATCTAATTAAAGCAACTGTGTAACAAAAAGGGAACAGTCTAATGAGCATTATTACGGCACATTTCAAATGTAAACGGAACTCTCTCGTTTAGATGCCCTGTCCCGCTCATTAGTAGCAAAGCAAAGAAAAGATAATGAGACAATAACATAATCTGAAGCATATTTATAACAGTTCAGATATTCTAATGAAGAATGCTGCTTCAGAAAGCATGTGCCTGCCGCCGCTGCAGCAGGAGCTGCTAATTCCTTTCTAATATGCAGATGATATGCAGGCTTTTTTCTCACTCTCTCCTGGCAGACACGTCAGGTCATTTGGGCATTTGCACACACGTCAGTAAAGAAAAAAGAGATGGAGGAAATATCTGTCTAATTATTTTGCTTCCCATACATGCATTAAGGATTCAAATTTGTAATTAAGAGACAAGAGGCGCTGGCAGGCTCCTGCACGGGTTAGTGAACATGGCATGGGCTTGTGGGTAATTACTCAAATTTAATAGCTTAAAAGGGAAGGAATGCACATCCATAGTAAATACAGAAGACGAGAGATATTCCACTGTCCAAACTTGAGCAATTAAAATGTAATATGAAGTGATTGTGAAGGCCGTCTTATTTTCCTCTGAAACGGTGACTAGCAGAGATTTACTCAAAGAGAGAGAAATTGTGTGCAAATGTGGACATAAGGAAATACTTTTCAATCCAACTCCAGAATGACTGGAAATTTTTTTACTGTGTGCTGCTGCATGAGTCAACTGAAAAAAATAGCAGAATTTGAATGGGACAGTTTTAAGTGAAGATATTGCTGAGAAATAATTAGTGCGTCCTCATAAACCTTGAATGATTAGAATCATAAGTCAAGAAGCCCATGATTCAACCTGCTGTTGTCAATCAAGCATCTGACTTGACGTTTTTTTCACTACGTGATAGCTAGCGTGATATGCTCCACCTGCTTCCAGGTTAACCTGCTTCTCATTCCCCACCCTTTCATTTATACACCGGAGGCAGTGGGCTACCATTAAAGCAGTGCTGCAACTAACAGTTATTTTATATATTCTCTATATTATCTGAGAAGCTGAAATCCTAGATTTTTTTCATAAAAAATAACTCAAAATTACTAATTTAAAAGGAATGTAACAATACACTCAAATCACAATTCGATACAATTTATGATAATGGGTTCAAGGTATGATTTTCTTACGTTTTTTTTTTAACAAAATAAGATTCAATTATGGCTGAAAAAGATTCCTGTATTTTTCAGACAAAGTTTACTTTCTCTTATATTCTTTATCTAACCTTTTTTTTTTTATTATTTACTGTCCCAAACAATCCATATTTCCTTTTCTTTGCAAAAGTGAAACCGATGTCTTTG